GGGGGGGGGGGGCGGGGTGCGGCGCATCCCTGAAGCCCGGCGTTGGGGGTGGACCGCCCCCGCTGGCCGTCCCGCAGCCTCCGGCGGAGCCGTCTTCAGTTGGGGAGTACACCCTTGGCTTCTTCAGGCCTTGAAGAAGACCACCAGTGCCTTCAGCTCCTTTTCATCGTCTTTCCTGGGTCGCGGACAAGGAAAGGCCCCGCCCCCTCCATTTTAGGGCACATGGCTTTTTATAGCTGGACTGCGTGGTGCCCGCAGGTATCCAAGCGCTGCCATTGGTCACACTCCGGCCGGATCCGCGTTCTGATTGGTGTGTTTGGACCCGTCACCAGCCTGCGGACCCGCCTGTCGACCGGCGGCGCCCAGGTCTGCTCCCCTTCCAGAACGTTCCCCGTGACTGACAGTCACCCCCCCACCACCACCACCACCAATGATTTAATAACATGAGGGTGGGACACAAGGGCTACGAACTAAGGGTCACACAAAGGACAGCATGATTGACAGGACAAACAGACCACAAACAAAACCTTTTTAACAGATCCAAAACAACTTTCAATCTATTAAGGGTTCTGCTATGACAGACGGTTAGCAGTCAGGTTGGTTAAGCATGATTTCCCCTTTGGTGAATCCATGCTGACTACTCCTGATCACCTCCTTGTCCTTCATGTGCTTGGAAATGGTATCCAGGATGAGCTGCTCTATTACCTTCTCACAGATCGAGGGGAGGCTGACAGGCCTGTAGTTTCCTGGCTCCTCCTTCTTGCCCTTTTGGAAGACTGGAGTGATGCTGGCTTTCCTCCAGTCCTCAGGCACCTCTCCTGATCTCCAGGACCTTTCAAAGGCCCTCATTGAGAGTGGCCTAGCAATGACATCTGCCAGCTCCCTCAGCACTCGTGGATGCATCCCATCAAGGCCTATAAACTTGTGTATGCCCAATTTGCTTAAATGGTCCCTAACCCAATCCTTCTCCACCAAAGGAAAGTCTTCCTTTCTCCAGACTTTCCCCCTGGTCTCCAGAGCCCGGGATTTGTGAGGGCCGGTCTTACCAGTAAAGTCTGAGGCAAAGAAGGCATTCAGTACCTCAGCCTTTTCTGTATCCTTTGTCATCAGGGCTGTGTGCACAACCAAAAGTAAACTTTAGGAATAGTAAGCAAAAAACCAATCCTTCAGTACTTACCTCTTTCTTATTTACAGTCAGGAATTCTACAGTACAGAGATATACTGAAATCAGGAGGCTTTGGGTTAATCAAAAGGTTAGAAATAGCTCCATGGGAGGTACTTATCTACTGACCAATTGAAGGTTACTAGCTTAAAAAATCTGAGAAGTCACACAACATATTATAATATTCACAACATTATAACATTCATGACTTTTCTAATAAATGGATTGGGCCAGTTTGATGGGACCCTAAGAAACTAACCCTTGTCTGATGTCATTGCCAGACGAGTTTCCAGAGCACCTCAGAATATCAGAAGTTAATGTCATGTTTGAGGTACAAATGCATAAGGGCCTGATTAGATTCTGAACTCACTGATAGTCCTTCCATTGAATGGGGAGGGAGATGGAAAGGGACTGACTCAGTCAGTCAAAGGCAGGGTAAATTAGTCTACCCTAGCCTGTGCAATCACAGGTGGATTGCTGCTGGTGTGAGGTAGGTAGTTCCAGTCAAACTCAGGCATCTGTGCAGTATGCTGTTGTGACCACAGTGCAGACATATTCCTAAGTATGTACTCTAGCTCTAAACTTCTGGTATGCAATGATTTCTCCTTGCATAATGTGACTGCAGTTTTTCAGAAAAGGTAGAGGTAGCACTTTGAAGGGTAAGAAAAGATAATCAAAGATTATTTGTGATGGCAGTGAGCAGGAGGTGACATCACAGAGACCACCTGTAACTTTTTGAGTCAATTCCATGAGATTGCCAGTAGTGCAGGGGCGAAAAGGTTTTTCAGAGAAAATAATTTCTTTTGGAAAATGGCATGCTTTTAAATTAAAATGTTTGTGTTTTCACCCCACGTAATGGCAATATTTTTAAGTCATCTTCTAGTGATTCTGGCTGGAGGGTATTTTTGTCTTGTGCTTTTTTCCTTTAATAAATTTCTATCTCCTTTTTCAATTTTAATTTTATGAAATGTGGAAACTGTTCAAGAAACAAAATATCCAGGTTACAAATAAATATATGTCCCTTGTGGTACTTTATGGGAGACATTTTTTCCTGCAAAAATAAATGTTTCTCTTTTCTAAATAGCTGTCCTCAGCACCCTAACAGATGCCTGTGATGCCCATGGGAGTTAGCTTTGCAGAGGAATTTGCAAACTTACTGGCCTGGGCCATACTGCTCGAGCAGTAAGGCACAAGAAAGGAGAGTTAGAGGTGATTCTACATGCTAGCAGCTGAGCGTAGGTTAGACAAGTGTCCCTGTTGCTCTCATTTTACCCAATGCATTTGCACTGGTATGAGGATGAATTCTCCTTCTCCTCCAAGATCAGCCTGAATACTCTGTGCAAACTCTCAACTAGTCTATCCCTAGTTCAACAGCTAGCCTCCCTCACTGAAGCAGCAAGCTCACATGGGGTAAGCCTGCCACATCACACTTCCGCAATAATAACAGCAGACTATATACTCTTCATCAGGAGGTGTCTTACCCAAACTGTGAAACTGAAGGTCAAAGGTCTCAGTAAAGTCAGAGCACTTGTACAAGAAGCATCTGGGGTTGTAACTATAGAGGTTTTGGAGCATCAAATGATTCACAACTGAAGATGTTATAGGTTCTCAGGTCTTTTTGTCAGCCTGGAGGATGGCCTGAAAATGTCAAAACTACCTTCTGTATTAGTGGCTAAGGGTGAAAAGGATGTCTGTGAATGCTCTGTGATTATAAGCCAAGTAAGTTATTTATGACCTTAGTAACAGGCAGGTCTGACACACTTTTCAAATCGCAAGAGAGCCAGGCAGTTCTTCAGAGCCAGGTCATTCCTGAGACTAAAACTAAGCTAGTGTATTAGCTTGCTGGAGGAAGGTGGATGGAGCAGTTTACAAGGCATTTCTGTTCTAGGTTTTTTGTTTTGCTTAACTCATGAGGGGCTTGCCTAATTTTGTTACTAAATAGCCAGAAACAGAACAGTGAATAAATGTTGAATATCCTGTTCTTAGGATCAAACACAAGAGTAACTGTGCATGTTAAGCATTCCCGTACCTCCTATGGTGCAAAATTTGCTCTGACTACGTGAATTTGCTCTGACTACTATTGTACCTCCCTGCTGTCCTAATTCCATACCCCACTGTCCTTCACACTCCCCTGAGCTCACAGCTCCCCAAATCTCTTAAAGTTACTGCAGGTCGTGGTCTCTGTACCCATTACTTGCCCCTTCCCCCATTCACCCTCTTCTGGGAATCCTCAGTTCCCTAACTTCCCAATAGCTGCCATGTTTTAAGCCATCTGTCCTTGTTCACACGCATCTTTCTTACTGTTTGCCTTTCTGTTTCTTCCTGAGTGCTGTCCTGGGCATGCTAGCCTGTCCATCTCTCCCAATCCATTGCTGCTCAGACCAGCAGCTGCTGTGCAGTCAAAGGCTAAAATCAACAGCAAGTCAATTTGTACTTATAGAAATATTGCTTTTTACTGCATGTAACGATAAACACCTAGAGATAATTTTCAATAGCTGACTACCCTCAAAACTGCTCAAATCCCTGACAAATCAAAACAATTGGAGATTTCAGTGAAGACATAAAGTCTAACCCTCCATCCTCCTGGTTTTCTATTCAAGGTTTTCTGCTCAGGTACAGATGAATGAGCGTTTCAGATGAACCGTCACTAAATTCTTTGTCTGCTTGCACAGAGCCTGCGTGCTGACTTGAAGAGAGCCTCTGCATATTTGAACATATTATACAGCCGATATCTGTTGTGAGTAAAACAGTTACTGTGCAGTGAGAACTGGTGGAAGCCAAGTTCTTGAAACCAGGTCCCGTTTCCTTTTCTGTTATAAGGTGGTATGATTTCTTGCAATGCTGCAGTGATACCAAGTCTGTAGACTAAGATGACGATACTCACGACCAGAGGTGAAGCACTCACAGTGGGCCTCAAGAGTACAAAGCCCTCCAAGTCTACCCAAAGTGCGGAAAGGGGAGCTGAAGCTCTTCGGTTCTCCCAACACTCATCTCTCCTCTTGTTCCTCCAGGCAGGAAGCAAGGACTCCTGAAGTCCACCTAGCTCTGCTGGGGCCTCTCCAGCTTCCGAGCAGTGCAGATGAGCTCCGGGGAGCTGAAGCGCGCGGGTGCTGGCGGGGCCGAGGGCGCCCCGGGCAGCAGGTGGGTGCAGCCCC